GTAGCTTTATTATAAAGCTTGGAATCCAGTATTCATCACTGTGTTCCACACTTCTGTGTTGGAATATTAACAATCCCAGAGTCCCATAAATTATGTATTTGTTGCTGAATGTCGCTGCCAGCTATGTGTGGCAAAGCAGTTCCTTCTGCAGAGTATTTTGGTTTGACAAGATCGCTGATGTGTGTGAGGGTGCCTTAGCAAATAAAATGCAGTTCAAATCACAGTTACGAGCCTGTTAACTAGGTAGATTTTCCTTCTTGCCCTTTCAATGTCAGAAGGGTGGCACTCCATACTTTTAAAAGTGTGAAATAATAACCAGGAAAGAGTGAGAAAATGACTGACTTTTAGAAAAAATGAATGCATGTCAAAGATTTTATAGTAGCAGTTAATTAATAAGAGAACCCGTAAGATGTCACAGCTAGCCCAAAGGTAAATATCCAAAGAGAGACACATACACAGGCAGTGGTGCATGCTAGGGTGYATTTGTAAGTAGATGCCCAGCTGGCTTCGTCCATGGGTGGGCTGGGGCCCAGGGATAATAGTGTCTTCACTGGATAAGATTTATTTGCAGTAATGTCAGTTTTCTATAATACAGAGTTATAAAATAACCCAGTTAAAAGTACTGAAACCCTTATAGAATCAGATAACCCAGAAAGGTGTGCTAAACACCTCATATTCCATTGGAAAGTTACCTAATGATGTCTTTTGACCCATTTCAAGTCTTTCACTGTCTCTTAACAGTCATTTCTTCCTCCTGCCCTGTGATCATAATAATTGCAAAGATTAGTTTTGATCACACACACAAAGAGGCTGGCTTCATAGGTTTGGTCTGATTATTTACATCGGTGCAGTGTTAATCAACCATATAGGCTTTATTGGGCTTGCTTTGCATATCCACATGGTATTCCACAGCTGTTAATGCCTGCAAAATTAGCTTTCTCCTGGACTTTGTTACAAGGGATCAAGAACTGAACTTTTCAGATCCTCTGTTATTTGCTCTCCCAAGGCTAGGAAATCAAGCCTTGAAAAATCTTCCACTGTATTTCACCTATGGTTCTTAATGTTTTGGTAGAATTCCTGAAAGTTTCCCATATTTGCTGAGCTCCCAGTCTGGCACCTTCCTTACTCTTAGACAGCCAGGACCAGCCAACCATGTTACCATGCCTGTTTTCCTAGGAGGGCTTTGTAGGCCTTAGCTCCATGGAGGGTCGTTTTTTATTCCTATATACGACCTGTCATTGATTCAGTGACCGTCATTCTAAAATATGACACTCCAGCAAAGGGTGTGGTTGTACAATTAGTTTGCCCATTTTTATCTTGTGGCTAGATTCTCAGTAGACCTATGCAGGTAACTATAGTGCCATGAGAATTAAGGAGACTCAGTAATAATTTTGAGTTCTAGGTAATTGATGAGAATTAGATAACATTTTTTAATATTTTGATTTCAACTATAAAAAAGAGTTTACTAAATTGAGGTTAGAGATGACTTAAAAAATAAGAGAGGGGTTGGGGTTGGGGTTGTGGCTCAGTGGTAGAGTGTTTGCCCAGCACATGTGAGGCACTGGGTTTGATCCTTATTACCACATAAAAATAAATTAAATAAAGGTATTGTGTCCAACTACAACTAAAAATTTTTTTAAAAAAGTAACAGCTGGGCATGGTGGTACATGCCTGTAATCCCAGCAGCTCACAAGGCTGAGGCAGGAGGATCAAGAGTTCAAAGCCAGCCTTGGCAAAAGTGAGGTAGTAAGCAACTCAGTGAGACCCTGTCTGTAAATAAAATACAAAATAGAACTGGAGATGTGGCTTGGTGGTTGAGTGCCCCTAGTTCAATCCCTGGTAACCGCCCCCCCCMAAAAAAAATAAGAGGAAAAAAGACATCCTCATATATCCAGTTAATAGAACATTAAAACAATATCAATAGTATTCCAGACAAATATCCACAATAAAATTTCCCTCTTCTGTTCCTTCAGTCCTGTGAGTGAACTGTAATTAATTCTTATTCTGCTGGTTCTTGGCTTAGCAGTCCTCATTGATGAAGTCATCTGCATCCAAACAAAAGTCCAGAAACCCTGACTCAGTTCATTGGCATAGCTTAAAAATTGTCTAAGCAATGTCAGCTCTGTGGTATGTGCCCAAGAGTATTATTTGAAATGTTGATATGTTAAAATACCTGGTACATTCTGTCCTTTTCCATGAAAAGAGGTTGTCTTTGCCACAAACTCTGGTCCATGCTTACGTCAGAATCTCATGCAAGTATCACAGTAATACAAAAGTTATCTGTAGATTAGTGACTTGATGGTTAATATGTCACTGTGACCATTTATTTCAGAATGGGAAAGAATAAAATTTTGTACTAGAATATCATATGTAACTATTTCCCAAGAATTTTGAGCAGTATGTACCTGTAGGATAAAAACCATATTAGAGACAATGAGGGCATTAGCAAATCTCCAGGATCTTCCCACAAACCTAAAATTTCTGAAATATTTACATTAATAATATTTTACTAATACTGACTTAACCTAGGAAGGACTGAAAACTCTTTCCATGTATTCTGTTTCTGTGGTGCTAGAGATAGAGTCCAGGGCCTGGTGYGTGCCAGAAAGGTGGATACCACTGGGCTACACTCCCACCTCCAACTCTTAAAATAGTGACACATCAAATACAATTACATATAGCATCTCTTTTTTTTTTTTTTATAAGGTGAAGGAACGAATCTTCATGGTTGTCCAGGATCTCTCTGTCTCATAAAGAATTTTAGGCATACAGCATACCCTAAATACTTTATTTCTTCAAAATAGAGGGTTCGGACTAAAAAAACAAAGCCAAAGATTAGTCGGAGGACTCTTAAATACTTGGTTAGAACAATAGCACAATTGAAGATCAATAAAATATTTAAAAATTGACATTGAAAGTAACACATTTTTTTTAATTGAGCCCTTTTCACATGTAAGGGTCCTTTGTCTTCCCTTTCCCTTCTAAAAAAATATCAAGGATGTTAATCCGTCAACATAAAGCACTAGAAATAATTCTGGTGAGACACAGAATCTCTTCTAGCTAGGCAGATTCCACAAAAGGTAAAGAATTTGCCTTTTCATTATAGTCAAAGGCATTAATCAGTTAACCAAGGAAGCAAGTCATCAAAACCAAGAGAAATCCTTTTTCTAGCCTTTTTTTCAGACTCAGATATTATAAACCAAAGCAAATAAAATTCTCTTTCCAAGTTGTTTTCTCCATGTTTCCCTTTCATATTCTGGAACAGATTGACACTTTAGGATTGCCTTTGAGCATCCTATTCTCTCAAAAGTATACAGCAGAGTTTTTCATAGGCTACATGATGAGTGATATCATTATAAATGCACAAAAATGTGAACATCCATCTCTCTCCATTAAGCCAGACATTAGAAATATTTGCAAAAACATTAAAATGACATTTTTCTCACCAAAAAAAATTTTTTCTCAAAGTGTTTTTCATAAAATACATGTAAAGTTAAAAGGAATGGATTCATTAATGCAATTTTCAAATGAATCAGTATCTTTAAATTGCTCAGTTTTTATTTAAAATACAGTAAATTTTGGTAGTTATCATTTATTGAAGCTCTTTGATGTCCTGAAATAAGTTCCAAGAGTCTAAAGGGGATCCTCATACCAAAAAATTTGAGAACCACTGATTTAAGACAAAATTATTCATACAAGGTATGATGATTCAGGGGGATGCTAAACTCAAAGCTAGCCTGGGTAATATAGTGAGACCTTGTCTCAAAAAAAAAAGGATACATTCACACTTCTATTTCTTTTTCACTATTGCATCCACCATAATCTTGATCACTTATTCCAATTATAAAAATTACCAAAACAACTCACTTCTATTTCATACAAAAAAATTGGGAGGAGAGTGGGACTAGATGGTTGACAACTGTGCAGCCTAGCAAAGCTCATGGACACACAACCATGTGATATAGCATTATCTTTATATCACCAGTCTGGATGTTAAAGAACTGTTCTCCTTTCCAAGGAACACACATTTCTTAATTGATTTGAGCTCAGAATAGACAAAACAAGCCAGACATGGTGGCACGTGCCTGTAATCCCGGTGATTTGGGAGGCTGAGGAAGGAGGAGCATAAGTTCAAAGCCAGCCTCAGCAAGTTAGCAAGGCCCTAAGCAACTTAGTGAGACCCTGTCTCAGAATAAAACATAAAAAGGGCTGGGGATGTGGCTCACTGATTAAATACTCCTGAGTTCAACCCCTGGCACCAAAAAAAAAAAAAAAAGGAAAGGAAAGGAAAGCAATAGACAAACATACAAACAAAATGTCCAAGACCAGATAACCCTGTTCTCTCTTTCATCCAAGAGAGGATAGAGCTCTTTAATCCATTGCTAGCAATCACCAGATTATCAAGCCATAAAACTGAATTCTCCTCCATTTTTACCGCTGAGGGGGAATAACTTGTCAGCCATGCACAAATGAGAAGGAAAAATAAAACAAAACGAATAAAACCTAGAGACAGAGTCAATGAAATTCAAGTCTATTACTGCTTTGGATTTATTCTGGGAGCCAAAAAGAGTGGCTGTGCAGCTACCCAACTCGGTCAGCTAAAGCCTGTGGATATCTCCAGGCTGATCTCCAAAGTTCTTAAAGGGTAGGTTTTTCAAAGGTAAAATCATAAAATGAACATGTGGATTTTAATAAAGAGGAGAGGAACCAGTAAGCTGTTACATCCATTCGTCTTTGATCAGCTTTTTCCTTGAAGTGTTGGTAACTGACAGTAACTACCTCCTTCTGGGGCCTGAGCAGGTGAAAGCAGCATTTAGACTTATTTTACATATTGGATATGCTTCTCACTGACAGCATGTTGAAAATTCCACCAGGTTTCTAAGGTCTACACGTGAGGCTTGGGAGTGTGGACACACATTGGCTGATTTTACTGGGGTTTCAGTCATTAGATCCATCATTTGCTCTCCTAAACTGTGACCAACTCTTGGTTTTTTTCACAGTGACAAAGTCCAGGCTCTCTCCTATGCACAGCACACACGACAGCTCATCTCATGTGGTGGTGACGGTGGCATAGTCGTCTGGAACATGGATGTGGAGAGGCAGGAGGTAGGTGTCCCAGTAGGCTGGGTTTAGCCATGAGGTCAAGCTCTACCTCCCTCCTTATTTCTTGATACCTTATAATTAAACCATGTAATAAGACATGTTAGAGAATTTTAAATTATGGTGTTAAAGGAGCTCTTTTTTTTTTCCCGTGCCCCTTATGAACTGGCATGTTACATTAATATGATTAGAGATTTCATGAGAATTTTCACTGAGACTAAGCTGTTTAGACTTTAAATCTGTTATACCATTCACAGCAAAAATACAGGTGAGAAAAAGAACCGTCTAATTTTTGGTGATTAGTCCCAACATAAAATGCCCCAAGGACACTGAGAGCTCATGTGCTTTCGGTCATTGAAGGAAACAGTGGTTAAGAAGTAAGGACCTTTAATTTGGTATTAAGAGAAATGCTAGAAATAATTTATTTGGTGCTTCTTTTTGAGTCATGTTCTAAACAATTCCCCAGTTACATATACTTTGTCTTTTTTAAGCACATATTTAAATTTTATCAGTACTCTTTTCTTAAATGAGTTTTGCTTTTAATCTCTGAGTATCTTAACTAGTATGTTTACTGAATCCCCTTTGACAAGTACTTTGAAGTTAACCATCTTCCCAGTACCCTAGAATGACTCTAGGTAGACTTTCCCTTCGATAGTGCAGTCTTTGAACTTATTTCTGGCAGGATGTAAGAATTAGGTAGAAAAGAAACACTTTATTTAAAAAGACAAAAGCAGTTTTCCAAATTCTTTCCATGCCCTTACCCCAGTCTTGTTTCAAGAGGGAATTTTCTGATACCCACAATGTAATGCCCTTCAAATGCTAGTAATTAAATGCTTAAGAAGATTAAAGCTTTATTTGCTCAAACCATAAATCCACAGGAGTTCTATTAGTAACTAATTAAAATGATCATTACTGTTAGGAAGTGGGGAATTGTAGAATATTGCTTTTGAAAAGCACTTGGCACCATCCATAAAAAGCCAGGGAATTGTTACCATGAGTGCTGGTCATGCTAACCAGGCTCCCCTGTGTGTGTCCCAACTTGGGTTGTGCATGATAGTCTGCCTTAGGTGAAAGATGGTCATGCCTCATCTGGCCTGGCTTCTTTCCAGGCCTAACTGACCAAACCAGGGGAAGGGAGAATGGTAGGTTCTTTTCTCTCAGTGCAGGTAGCCTCCATCCTTTATGAACAGAGACCCAAAGGTCGTTGCCAAAGGTGAAACCAGGTAGTTGACAGGCAATTCTTTGAACCATCTGGCTTAAGTCATGCCTCTTGACATGCAGATATATGAGCACTGGATACTTGTTGATGGATTTAAAATCTTGTTGAGTAAGTTGAAGTTCTAAATAAGCAGTGGAAATGGTTCCATCCATCTTTTTCAAGTGTCATATTTCATAAACCTAAATCTCCAGAGATAGTGTTTGTAATTCATTATCTGGGGAGCTGCCTGCTGGCTATGGAAAAGACTGTGGGGGGCTCGCCTTGGGAGGCCTAACACTATGATGAAGCAGTCCCTAACCCGAGGTGCCGACAGATTTTCAGAAAACTTCAGAATGCTATTAAATTGTATAAATAATGAAATTATAGTCAATGTAGGAAGAACATCAGTGCTGGATATTCAGAAGGAGCATTAATGTCATTGGCCAAGGTTATTAGGGAAGGATTTACGGAAGGACATGATGTTAAAATATTAGTAGGACTGGCCGTGTTCTAACCAGGCGTTTCATGGGCTTTTCAGGCTAAAAAAATAGTCCAGAGTAAGGAAAAGGTGATGTGAGAAGAGGTGTGTGGTGCGTTAGTGCTCATGAGCAGGTGGGCAGCAGTCAGAGATGAGAGAATGGCTAGGGGCAGATGATGGAGGACCTTGAGTGGCCGGATGCAGATCAGGTCAGCATTGGTCAGCATTCCATATGTTAAACCTGTGTTTTTCTATACAGTTAATAAATCCATTTTTGTAAATGTTCATCATTTTATTTTTTACATATAACATTTGGATTCATTTTGACATAAAAGCATGGAATATAATTTGCTCTAATTCAGGCTCCAGTACCCACCCCACTTTGCCTTTCTTCTCCCTCTCCCTATTCCCTTCCCTCTACTGATCTTTCTGCTATTTACTTATAATTTGTTTTTGTTTTTTTTTTCACTTAGTGTTTCTTGGATATACTTGATGGTGAGATTCACTGTGGTATATTCATATATGTATGTTGGAAAGTTAGGCCAGATTCCTCACACTGTTCTTCCTTTATCCTGTTCCTCCTTCCTCATCCTCAGTCCCCTTCTTCTACTCCGCAGATCTTCCCCCTACACCTTACCTTTCCTCTCCTCCCATCTCCCCTCCCCTCCCCTCTCCTGTTTTCTCTCTCTCCCCCTCCCTCCCACCCTCCCTCTCCCTCTCCCTTCTTCCTTCTGCATAACAGAGAAAATATTTGACCTTTGACTTTCTGGATCTGGCTTATTTCACTTAGCATGATGTTCTCTAGTTTCATCCATTTATCAGCAAATGCCATAATTTCATTCTTTCTAGCTGAGTAGTGCCCCATTGTGTGTGTGTGTGTGTGTGTGTGACATTTTCTTTATCCACTCATCTGTTGATGGGTACCTGGGCTGATTCCATAACTTGACTGTTGTGAATTACACTGCTATAAACACTGAGATGACTGCATTACCATAGTATGCTGATTTTATGGATATATACCAAGGAATGGAATAGTTGGGTCATATGGTGGTTCCATTCCTAGTTTTCTGAGAAATCTCCGTACTGCTTTCCAGAGTGTTTGTACTAATTTGCAGTCCCAAACAAGTTATGAGTGAGTGTGCCTTTTCCCCCACATCCTCCCAGCACTTCGTATTATCTGTATTCTTTTTTTAATATTTATTTTTTTGTGCTGGTTGGACATAGTACTTTTATTTTATTTGTTTATTTTTATATGGTGCTGAGGATGGAACCCAGAATCTCGCATGTGTGAGGTGAGTGCTCTACTGCTGAGCCACAACTGCAGCCCTTTATTTGTATTCTTGATAATTGCCATTCTGACTGTGGTGGGATGAAATCTCACTGTAGTTTTGATTTACATTTCCCTAATTGCTACATTTATCATTTGAAAAGTATGTTTTATATATACTACATGTTATACATAGGAAAGTTAAGATGCTTATTAACAAGTAGAAGCCAGGTCAAGTACTTATAATTCCACTGCCTATAAATGGCAAAACATTATATTTCCTTACATTTTTCTCTGTATGTACATGTGTACAAAATTTTTTAACAAAAATTAGAATGCTAATATACATGTTGATTTATTTTTCCCCTTTCCAGATCATTATTCCACTTCCTTCCTCTTAGGCACCACATTTGATATGTGTCCCAAATAAGTATCCATTTGTGTGTATGTGTTCAAGTTTACATAAATGATAACTACACTACAAGTCTGCTGTTTCCAACTATTCCCCCCAAACTTTTTGGGAGCTCTGTGTATCTTGAGGTGCCTCTTTATAGGTTCTCATAATATATATCAGTCAAATTTTACCTCTCTGTTCCCCAAAGGGCACATAGATAGATACAAACTCTCTGGTACTACACACAGCACCAGATGACTTCTGATACATGTTCTTCACCGACCTGTGTGGGGTCAATCCAGGTATATTCTTGATTTTTGCTAAATAACAACCAAACAACTGTACCCACATATGTTTCTAGTGGAGAGAAGAACAGTGTGAGGAATCTCTCCCTGATACTCTACATCCTCACCAATAGTTATTGTTACCACATTTCTGGTTTTGCCCTATTGGAGACAGGGATAAATGAATGTCTTGTTTTTATTTGCATCTCTGCCTAATAGTAAATTTGATTTCCTCTTTGTATATTTTAGCTATTCAGACCACCCTGGCTATGAATTGCATGGTTGTATCTCTTGCATCTTCTGCCAGCTTTTCAGCTGTTCCTTGTCATTTCTTATTGATTTGCAGGGGTTCTTTGTATATCATAGATATTAGAAGGAATTCTTTGTTAGTTACAAACTTCAAAAATATCTTCTTTTATTCTGTTAACTTTGGTATATATATAGTACTTAATACCTGGAGGGTCTCAGTTCATTATATATTAGACATTTTCCCTGTCTTTAAATATTTGTTTCTACTACATAATTCTTAGTGGTAAGAAAGTGATATCTGAGAATGTTCCATAAACAGACATTAGTGCTGCCCCCTCAATTCCCTAAGAAGCATGTTAGTGTGTTTTTACTATGTGAAATGAGTCGCGAATTCAGTTTTTTCAGGGCCCTAGAAGTTCTTGATGAACCCAAGTCTGATTATATACTATAAGCATTACTCATTTTGTGTCACAAATAAGTCTTTGCTTCTTCTTTTTTTAAAATTCTCCTGATTCTTCCGCATGATATGTTCTGAAAAAAAAAATCACATAATCAGTCTTTAGGGGTAAGATGCCTTTAGCTAAAACTTTGTGTTATTGTGTTAAATCTGTTTTTAAATGGACTTGGTCATGAAAATTACAAATCAAATCAAGGTTTACTCTTTTTCTTTGGTTTAATAAAATAAAGAACAAAAGTAAAGTACTTTAAAATGTCCTCTTTATTTGGGGGCAAACTAGGTTGTTGGATTTTTTTTGTTTGTTTTGTTTTGTACTGGGGTATGAATCCTGGGGTGCTTAACCTCTAAGCTACATCCACAACCTTTTTTATATTTTATTTAGAGACAGGGTCTCACTAAGTTGCTTAAGGCCTTGCTAAGTTGCTGAGGCTGGCTTTGAACTATTGATCCTCCTGCCTCAGCCTCCTGAGCCACTGGGAGGGAAAACTGTAGTTTTAGGTTTGTTTCTGCCTGAAAGGTAGAAGAAGCTAAATCCTAACATCTGATCCGTAGCAGATATTCCTCAGAAAAGGGTCACATTGACCCTGAATGGACTTCAGAGCTTGACCATGCTCCTGTCTACTGTGAATGTCTAGAGGAGTGGGCTGCTGTTTATGACATTTCTCAAACTTGTTTACTCTAAGGCCTCTTTTATAAAAAGTGAGTGTCCCGAGAGTAGGATATTCCTGGAATTCACTGTTGGGAAATCCTGGGTTGGATATATTTTCAAGGTTTTTTGGGTTCTGTGCTATATGGAAAGAGATGATTTCCTCTGCCAAGTAATAAAATCTGGAGAGTTGGACATGAACTCTGGAAGCAAATGTAGTTACCATTTGCATAATCTATAAAGATTGCTAAAGAATAGCTTTATTTCTTTTTTATTTTTTTAAGAGAGAGTGAGAAAGAGAATTTTTTAATATTTATTTTTTAGATTTCAGCGGACACAACATCTTTATTTGTATGTGGTGCTGAGGATCGAACCCGGGCCGCACGCATGCCAGGCGAGCGTGCTACTGCTTGAACCACATCCCCAGCCCAAAAGAATAGCTTTAAGTGAAACTCACTTTTAGAACCTGTCTGGCATAATTTAGAAAAGTTATGACAGGAATGAGAAATAGTGAACAAAGCTAGAATATCGTGTGACCTGTGAGCCAAGGAGCAGAGCCTGAAACCCCACTGTGCCCTGCCACAAGTAGACAGTGGACAAGTAACTTCCCTGAGTATGAGTCAGGTTCTGTGTCATCTGACGTGGGGGACCATGTGTATGTGTGATGTTCAGTTAGGCATCATTGTATGTGATTGGAGTAAATGTAACTGCATCCATTCAGAGAACAGGAAATTTAGTCCTAAATCTTCAGCATGGCTGCCAAGTGCCTGTGTGATATGGCCCGGGCTGAGCCCTGGCTCTTATCCCTTGTTCCCCCATCTGCCCTCCAGCGTCTTGACATGTCCCAGTCCCTTTTCCCAGCCTCCTCCCACCCAGCCTTGGGTCTCAGCTTTCTAGCATTTGTCAGAGGACCTCAGCCTGGGTCTGAACCCCCTGTCACACCTCCACCATGGTGCTCTGCTTCTCCTCAGGCCCTTACTCTTAGAGTTATTGTATAGTTATTAGTAATGATATTTCATGACCACTCTTCTCTGGAAATCATAAGCTCCAAGACAGTAGAGATTGTTTTATTTGCCACAACCTCCCATCCTGTCTCCAGGGCCTGACACATAAGAGGCATTCCAGTAAGTACTTTTTGAATGGTTGAGAAATCACCCTCTGTTTTTGATAAACATATCCTATTTCAAAAGTTTCATCAGTGTCACTGGTTGCATTGTCCACACCATTTCTCACTGTGACCTGTTATGTGCTTTATTTGACAAGACACCTGAGTGGCTGGACAGCGATTCCTGCCAAAAGTGTGATCAGCCTTTCTTCTGGAACTTCAAACAAATGTGGGACAGTAAGAAAATTGGCCTAAGACAGGTAAGGTGATTTGGATTCTTCATCAAAATACAGTTGTGTGGAAATAACTTAACCTTGTAATCTTAGAAGAAGTAGCACCCTGGGTGGGAGTGTGGTAGAGGTAAGTTATTATTCTGGAATTGCCTTGTGACTTCACATTAATGTACCTGCCTTCTCTACTGTAGTTCATTCCAACTGGATTCTGTTTTGTGTAGTGATTTCATCTAGAAAGTAGTCGAGGGGTACAGTTTTAGAATTCTAATGGCATCTATTGAAATACATCTTAAAATCAGAGGTATCATGCTTAGCTCACATTGGTTCCAAACCATTAATTTAGACAAGTGGTATTTATTTCTTCTTAATTATTTTGCTTTCCCTCCTCCTGATGTGGTTTTAGTTATTTAGATCTGCTCATAATTACATAGTTTTCAATTTGGTCTTCCCCAGAGAAATCAGATGTTAGGTCACCTAGGTTGACCGTGGCCAGAGTTACAGACAATAGGTTGAATCAGTTCTCATCCACATCCTCCTTCATCCAGGCATGATCTCAGGAGATGGCACCCAACCCCAGAGCCCCTGGCCTCTGTGGCTCCCAGCAGTGGTACTAGCACAGGGTGGAGTACAGGGAAAGGAGGAAAGGGGGGGTGGTACTGTCTGGGGTGTTTCCCAGCGGTCCTCTTTCAGAACACAGCCTGAAAAGACAAGACACCTAGTGTGCTCCTGTTAGGGTTCTGGAGCACTCTTGCTTGGCATCTTCACCTGAGTGTGGTCACTCACATGTGAGTATGCCAGGAGAGTGGCACAGCCGCCTGTTTTCTGTCCCTCCTGCAGCATCATTGCCGAAAATGCGGGAAAGCTGTCTGCGGCAAGTGCAGCTCCAAGCGCTCCTCCATCCCTCTGATGGGCTTCGAGTTTGAAGTGAGAGTCTGTGACAGCTGCCATGAAGCCATCACCGATGAAGAGTAAGTTCCAGGGGTCTGCAGGACTCTCTAGGTGGAGGAAAGAATCCTGTCTGAGAGCAGCACTCAGCACTCCAGCCATGACTCCTGAGGCCCTTGTTCCTGCCAGTTTAGAGTGTAGACCATGGCAAAGAGATTTTTATCTTTTACTGGCACATTATAATTGCAATAGTGTGATTCATCGTGTCATATTCATACATGAACACGACACAGCTTGATCAATCTCATTCCCCAGGACCCTCCTTTTCCCTCCCTCCTCCCTCAAGAGACTTGTGTTATCTTGAGAGATAAATGAAGAGAGAATAGACTTGAAGAATTCATCTGTGTACACTTCTTAATCTCAGGGAAATGTGCATTTAAAGTAGATGCTCTCCACACAAATCCTTCTGCCTGCTCATTTACTTGAGAATTGCCGAGGGGTGCAGGGGCCCAGGATTTGCTTTATAGCCTGAGCTGCCGTCTTTACAGGATTTGAATCAGCTTGGGGCTCTAGAAGGTTTCAATTTCTAGGAAGAGCTAAACTGCTTTACCTAAAAGGCAAATACTCCCAGTTGCTTACTACTCAGCTGGCTGCCTCTCAGTCCTGCCCAGTATCCTAGGGTCTCAGGTGTGCTTTGGAAGGTGAGGCAAATCTGCATTGTCTCTTTCATGTTAGCTAATTGAAAATTGTCCCCAGATGCAAACAGAATGATCTGGAACAGGTTTCCCTGTTGGTAATTTACTGGAGGACCAATCTCCTAGGAGACTTTTCTTCCCAGTCCTCCCAGCACCTTTTATTTAGTGCAATAAAATTACTTGAATTATTCTTTGTATACTTATATCAAACAAAAATTAAGATGCCCTTTTGTAAGTAAGCATTTATACTCGTTGGTTATTTTCCACTTGTCATGGTTGTATGTGTGTGGCAGGGGGCTGCTGGGGATTGAACCCAGGACCTTGTGCATGGGAGACAAACACTACCAACTGAGCTACATTCTCAGCCCCAGTAAGAGTTCTTATTGAATAGAGTGCTGCAAGAGACTTCAGGTGGTCCATTGTAATTCTTTTTATAAAGACATAGACAAAACAAAGAAGAAGAAAACTGTCTTCAGGAGCCCACGGTAGCAGAGTGGCACCCCTTAAAACATGACTGGAGAGCGACCCTCTATTTTCCCCTCCCTGACCCTTCCTAGGGAATCACTGTGGCTTCTTCCTCACTTGCCCTACCCCTAGAGCACTCTAGGGATACTTGATAAGCCTTCCTTCAAAACAACAAAAAAAGCATAGACTAAAAATACAAAACAGCTGGGCATGGTGGCACTCACTGGAGACTGAGGCAGGAGGATTGCAAGTTTGAGACTGGCCTCAGCAACTTAGGGAGACCCTGTCTCAAAATAAAAAATAAATTAGAAAAAAAGGAGAGACTAGAGGTGTAGCTCATAAGCACCCCTGGGTTCAATCCCCAATACCAAAAAAAAAAGAGAGAGAGAGAGAGAAAAGAAAAAAAAACACAAAATAAATAATGATGTTTGTTTCTACTTTGTTTCACCTGTTAAAGGTTTAGAAAGAGAAAAACTTAAAGTCAGCAGTTACACCAGTGAACAAAGAAAGAGAATTGATGGGCTTCAAATAGAATGACAGTAGTATCTTAGGTATTTTAACAATTAGGCCTTTTTAGGCTTTTTTTTTTTTTTTTAATGGGCCACTTAACCTGCAAGCCCTTCCTTCTGAGTGCAAACTTAGCAAAAAGCACTGTGGTTGTTAAGAGATTTCTCAAAAGGTGCAGGTAGAGATTTTCAGATCATCAGAGCAACATGTGTGGAGGTTTCATCTCTCATTTTGGAGAATAGGGATCATTTTGCCTTATTATCTTGTTAAAATCTTATAAGAGATCACCAGAGAATAAAGGCAGATCTGGGAAGTGATTCTAATAGTGAAGCAGTTTTAGCTATTAGTCTAAAAATTAGAGCACAATGTCACCTTGATCTCTGTAATTCCTAGATCCCACCTTTTATCCTCTCCTTGGTCTTTCTAGACGTGCACCCACAGCTACCTTCCATGACAGTAAACATAATATTGTGCATGTGCATTTTGATGCAACCAGGGGATGGTTACTGACTTCTGGAACCGACAAAGTCATTAAGGTAAGACACCATCTTAAGCTTTCCATTTGAGGCCTTATGCGAATACACAGGAGCCCAGAACACGTGAGGCTGGGCTCGCAAGGTTATCCTTGGCACTGAGCATTTTTGAGAGCCTAGTACATTTATGGATGTGCATGGAACAGAAAATCTACTTGGGACATACTCTTTAAAAGACAAATAGTAGTTCACACATACAGCAGTCAGAAGATTCACACAGACAAGTTCCATCAGCCAGGCACGGTGGCACATACCTATAATCTCAGCTGCTCAGGGGGCTGAGGCAGGAGGATCACGAGTTCAAAGCCAGCCTAAGCAACTCAGTGAGACCCTGTCTCTAAATAAAATACACAAAAAGGGCTGGGGATGTGGCTCAATGGTTGAGTGCCCCCAAGTTCAATCCCCAGTACCAAAAAAAAAGTTCCATCCGGGAGGCAGAGCTGCTGGAGCAGGCTTCCTGGAGCAGGTGGGACTGCACAGAGCACTGAAAGGCAAGACAGGAATAAGCCAGCAGGTAATCACGTCTTTTCCCAGTGAAATCAATTAATCCAGGCACATTCATCCAGGGCCTCTCTGAGGACTGCAGTAGACCACATGGATTCAGTGTCACAGCAGAGGCACAAACAGAAGGGGGCCTTTGTGTCATTTCTGTCCTATTCTTAAGGGCAGCAGTGAGATGATGTAGTTAAACTATCCTGTTTGAAGCCCCCTTTGTGACTTGGAACAAGTTTAAAGCAAACTCTGGGAGCCTCGATTCCTTTATTTTTGAATCTTACAGAGTTCTTTGGAAGATTGGCAGAGACATATGGAAAGAACACAGCCCAGGCTTGGTGTGTAATTTGTTCCCGTCACCCTTAACTGGCTCTGATCTGCCTTTATTCTCCACACCTGGGTCAGAATTTCAAGCTGCCCTTGTCATGGTTTTGAGCTTTATAAATCATACTAGTGGAGTATGAAGATTCTTCTCTTTATGGTTTTTTTTTTTTTTTTTTTTTTTGGTACCGGGGATTGAACTCAACCACTGAGCCACATCCTCAGCCCTATTTTGTATTTTATTTAGAGACAGAGTCTCACTGAGGTGCTTAGACTCACTGTTGCTGAGGCTGGCTTTGAACTTTCGATCCTCCTGCCTCAGCCTCCCAAGCCACTGGGATTACAGGTGTAGAATCTTGTTAAATGAAAAAATACTCTCTTGGCTTCAATTATAAGGACTGTTCATCCTCAACCCAATTTGATTTAATTCATTTTCTACTTTTTCTTTTCCCAGTTGTGGGATATGACCCCAGTAGTGTCTTGATGACTCTCCCAGGAATCAGAAAGATGTAGTATTTACTAAAGAAAAGGTTGTTCTGATCCACATGGCTACTGAAGCACTAAAGCTACGTGCGAGAAGTAAGAGAAGCTGAAGACCCGAGGTGAATCTGCACCCTCCCTACACAGTCAGTGGGAACTAGCAGAAGGACACTCAGTCCAACTTGTTCATATGATATAAAAGAAGATATTTTTTTAACAAATGGTTTATACAGTCTGGCTGTGCTACATTGTTTTGAGTATACTGAAAAATCTGTGTGGGGTGTTTAGTTTTTATATTTTCCAACCCTCCATTTTACTTGTTGCTTTGTGTGTTGGAGAAATAAGGGAATCATCTCCCTGTTCAGGGTGCATTGGTCATTATAAAGTAGTTTCCACATTTTCCTCACCTCGGCATGTGTCGTGTGGTCAGCATCTTTTCTCCTTTTCTGTCTTCATCTGTTTGCACCTTCGCTGCTTTTCTCCAGAGAAATTGTATTTAGACTCTTCACTCCCCGTGTTCCTACTTTCGTGTCCTCCTCTGTGGAGAGAAAAACCGTTTGTGTGGATCCGCCAGCCAACTTCTTGAGTCCCCTGAGGAATGAGCCGTCTGTCTGGTCTGACCTATTCATGTTCTTGCCGAGTAGGAGTGCCCTTGAGTTTCTGCCTTAGTTTTCTTAAAAAATGCTGTGAGGAAGCTGCTCCCGACCATCGTCATCCAGAAGTAGATGATAGGACTCAGAGCTTCAACCATCAGTGCCTGGATCAGTTACCATTCAGTTGGGGCCTCCTGAGCCTTCTGGGTTTTAGTTTTTTTGGATATCCCTCCCTCACAACATTCAAAACCAACTGAAACCTAAACCTAAATAAGTGTCTTTAGGCTATTTTTCGGTGTGACATCATCTCTGAACTTGAACCTTTATTATTTCAAGATTGTCATCCTGCTCTGTTCTTCACTATCTGTATTGTCTTCCCCTTTAAAAACCAGTCATTCAGACATCTTTATCTTAAGGTAATTCATCAGAACATTTTGCACACTTCTATTTTAAGACCCTGTGTGACCTGAGACACAAAGGTACTGAAATCCTACAGTTTGTGCTGTGTTCCTGCTGGGAACTTAAAAGAAGACTTCAGAAACCTGAAGAAGTCTTACTTCTAAGGGAATCCTAGCAAGCTTGATAAAATGTAATAAGTGATGCACCTAAGGGTATTGAATTCCTATTTTAAAATCTTACTTTCACTCATAAAAATACAATTAGATTTAGTGGCGAGGATATGCCGGGTACCTGTCTCACTCTAAGCACTTTACCACCTCCTCAGATCCTTACCTGGCACACATACAGGGGGATCACAGTCTCTTAAGAATCACCAGTCTAAATAAAGTCTTAAAACAGGCCAACTGTTTGCCCTTCCCTATCTGTGTCCTACCTCCAGTGTCCTTTTCAATTCTGATTTCAGTTTGGGGGTGGTAGGTAGGAGTTGAGTGAAACTGAAATCCTCCCTGTTGTTTTTCTTTTTAGGTTCGAAAACAGTTTTCCCCTCATGATCATTCATTACCTTCCTAACTGGGGGACATGCCACAGGCCATACTTGGACATTACCCCTGGTATCCACCAAGTCTGCTTGCTGGAAATGGGGCTTCCTGCAGATGATTCTGCTGGCCAGTGTGTGTGTCTCACACAGCCACTGACGACACTGTCACCGGAGTCTGGAACTCCAAGACTGTATTCCCGCACATGCGTGCACTCACAAGTCACACCTCTTGTGGCTTCACTGCCCCTTTCCTTGCACTTGCTTGCACTAAAGTTGCTATTACTGCATGAATGCTCTGTGAGAGAGCTTTCAAAAGGGAATTACATTTAAAATATTCGGATATCTATTTTGTAGTTTATTACTAGAACCTGCAGCCACTTCCTTGCTGTACCTAATAGAGAACTGCATGTTGGAAGTAATGGAAATGAATCGCTTCGTTTTCCCTTCCTGAACTTCAGAGTAAGGACTGCATACAGAGAGGGTAACCTAGGATCAGGGAGGCTGGGGTTCAGGACATTGCATGGATTCCCAGTTAGGTACACATGAGTTCAGACCTCCTTTGGGACGCCGAATGGGCCCATTAAGTGACACACATACACTCGGCTGCTCTGTTCTGTGTCCCTGAGTTTTGCTTCAGCCACTTCCCTCCCAGCATTGCCCTGGCCCAACCCACAGAGCCACTCACACATTGAAACCTCACTGGTGATGAGAATCATGATCAGAAACTAGATAAGTCAAGATAGCCCTTGTTCTGCCCTCTCCTTTCCTTTCATCTATGTGGGAGGTGGATTTGGTGAGAAGTATTTGGCCAATTGGGTGCATGAGTTTGTGATACTGTGAATTCTTGAGTTTTGTATTAAGTATCTTCACCATTTTTTGCAACTTGTGGAGAATACGTGCTAGTGTTTGGTGTCTTCCATGCAATTTGTGGAAAAGGAGGCTCCATTCATTAGGAGTGAAAGCGGCTCCAGCACTTGGCTTTTCTCCTGTGTCTGAGAAACCCTATTGGATTTGCACTTTACATTCATTTTTGCTCTATTACTTAAACTACAGCAGCTCTAGCAAATAATTCCTAACATGGCTATGTTGGGAAAGTGGCAAAACTGTACATATCATACACAGAGTTGTCCCCTATTTGGTAGAATAAAACCCATCTCATGCTCTTGGTTCCTGTAAAGGAATGATGTTACTAGAGCCTTCAGCTGCCTGGGTGTGTGTCCATAGTAGCAAAGATGGTTTTAGATTGAGCACTTGTGTCATTTTATATGAGGTCAATCAACCATTATATGTTTCTCATTGAATTGTTTGACGTATTCAGAGAATCATAAAATCACAAAACTGAAAGGGATCTTTGTTTTTTGGAACTGGGGATTGAACCCAGGGGCACTTTTCCACTGAACAACACCACAGCTCTTTTATTTTTTGTTTTGAGACAAGATCTCTCTAAGTTGCTGAGGCTGGCCTCAAACTTGTGATCCTCCTACATAAATAAGCCCCTGGAGTCCTTGGGATTACAGGTGTGTGCCATCATGCTTAGCTCTAGAAGGGATCTTGAGATCTAGAATGTTCCAAGCTGAAAGCACTTGAGTCATATTAAGCAATTAGCTATAGCTGGCATGTAAACAAGAAAAACCAAGAGAATATTAAAGGAACAATTGTTTTTGAAAACTACTTAGGAGTGATATGAGTGAGAGAAGCAGTGTCAGCACCCTGAGACTCGGAACTCTCTGGAACCAGGTTTGTTCCTCTCGGTTGTAAGCGTGTTTGACACACTTTTGGACCTGCTCTGTGGTAATGAGTGGGTGAGTCCTGGATCAGCAGGCAGTTACTGCAGTTCTTCACCCACATATGTTCATCTCCACACTGTCCCCCTTGACCACCTCAGGGGCAGGATCAACTTAAAAACCCAAGGCCCTGAAAATACACAGTGCCCTCATTGTTGAGGGCTGGTCTCGGGTCCCCGGGGTCTGCTGCATTTGTCCTTCTTGTGCAACATCACTTTTTCATCTTCTGAGTCTCATTTCTAAAAACATAATTATTTTTGTTTAACATCAAACCTTAAAGCTTGATTTTCAGCTTTTAAAAAGTACCAGAATAGCTCTAAACTATATGTCACTGTTAGTGGACATAAATATTCATTAAGTAAGATTTCTTTGGTTTTGCCTTTTCATGGTAGTTTAATTGCATGTCAGTGAGCTTGTTCAGTAAGATTTTTATTTTAAAATGGAAGAAATTCATTTTGCCAAAATGTTATTTTTCTCTTTTAAAAATAATGTTAGGTTGAGGGGCTGGGGCTGAAGCTCAGTGGTAGAGCACTTGCCTAGCACGGGTGAGGCACTGGATTCTATCCTCATCACCACATAAAAAATTAATAAAGAAAAACTAAAGTTATAAAAATATGTTTAAAAAATAAATAATGTTAGGTTGAATTTTACCTGGTGTGAAAGTAAATGTTTAGCAACTTGATTAGAAAACACAAATCCATTTCCAACATTGAATTATCTAGATGATCCTTGAGATTCTAGTCCAGATCATGCCACTTTCATTGAGGGGTCACCAGGTCTCTCAGCCCCTCCCTGGTTTGGCAAAAGCCACACAGATGAGTAAATGGGTTGTTTCAGCACTGTGTGATTAGTGTAATGATAGAGGTGCGTTTGGGGTGCCGCCCCAGGGGGTGCCTCTAACTCATCAGGCAGGGCAGGAGGAACTTGGCAGAGGAAGGGAATTCTGTGCTGAGTGTCACATGATAAAGGAGTAAGACAAGTAGAGGAAGAAATCCAGGCAGCAGAAACAGAGCAACCAAGTCCTAAATCTGCTCTCCACCTGGTGTGCCCAAGGACTGCAAGGGGCTTGGCATTGCCAGGGAACTTGTGGTGACTCAGCTGCAGGCCTGGAGCCTGAGCCCATGCGGCTCTTAGACGCTGATGTTTCAGAGCCTCAGAGGGAGGGCAAACACAGTTTCCCTGATAGGTGTGCTCAGAGCTCACCCTGTAGTCAGTGCTAGTATCAATTTCTTTTTCCTTGGAAATCCCAGAATTGGTATCTGAAAATGACCTGCGGTAACCAAGTTTGGGATCTTTCCAGATGCACTGGCTTTCACTGGAGGCTGTGAGGTGGAACAGGGACCATTACATGTGCAGCCCTTGCCTGGAAGAATCCAGATTCATCCATAAGTGGGCTGCACTCAGCTGCTCTGCTTTACAGAAGAGAAAGTCTGGACCTGCCCTACTGTGGCACAGCACTAAGTGTCACAGGGCATGAACAGGCAGTTGCTACTCTCCCTGTCTTCAGCCTCAGACCACTCTCAAAAGTCACAGGTCATTTTAGTACAATGTGGTAGAGGCGGAAGGGCCTCGTCAGGGGGGCACCTGCCAAGTGAAATAGAAAGATCTTTCTCAACTTGGAGTAGAAGGAACTCACTCAGCAGCCGCCATCTAGGGGACCCTCTCTGCAAGGCAGGAGCACCTGGCAGGGCTTGGAACAGCTATTTCTTGCTATTACATTTTTTGCCCTTTTTTAAGACTCAAGTATCATATGTCCATAACTGAATTCTGGAACATCTATGTTTACGTTTAAACTTTAGCTCAGCTTTACAACCAGGAACCACATATCAAACCCTCAGTGGTTTTAGTTGTCAGTTCTACCTGCACATTAGCCTTTCCACCAAGAAGCTTCTTTAGGTCTAACCTGG